TAGATTAAATTGTATTCTGCACCTTTACCTCAGTACTGCTTATGTCTTATCTTACTATTCTCTTCGATCTTTCATCCAAACGGGGAGCAACCAAAACCAACACATAAAAGAGAACTGAAGTATATTGGTGAAGATACCGCTTCGACTACGGAAAATGTACAAACGTTTCACAAACAAAACCCCAAAGAGCAGATCAAATATAAAGAATAAAAAATACGCTGCTTTCTCACTGTCACATAGAGAACAGAGCCTTTCATGTGGAACGAAGAAACAAGTAAAATTTTCACTTGGGTGAAGAAATGTTTTGATGTGAGTGGGCCTGATTCTTGGAACTACTACTGGGACAATATCAGAACAGAGAAACAAGAAATTTCAGTCAAAGGATGAACGAAAGAATTTTCGTCAACCAATTTCTTTTCCCAAATACAGTTTACTGAATACGAATATGAATTGTTCTTGAAATTGTATAGTCCCAAGATCCCAATCATTCACAACATCTCTGCAAAACAAAACCGTTACATCTTCCTTTCTTTCGGATTTCTACTTCCTTTTATTGAATATCAAAGGCAAAACAGTATGGCGAACAAGCTTGTTTTCGTAACTTCGTCTTCAGGCCTTTACAGTTATGTGTGCGTATTTATATCTCATGTAGAAATAAATGTGGTTGGACCATAGAGGTTATGTGTGAAAATGCAACAATGTCTGTCAAGTTTAATCGGGGTCAGTGGATAAAATGGGGACAGTGGGTGAAAAAGGGGTGGGGGGGGGAAGGTCAATTTTGGATTTTTCGGTGACCTTTCTTTTCATGTGTCATTTGTCACGTCATGTTGCGTCATCATGATACGATTGAGGTCATGGTTCGGGTCATCACGTAGGTTTGATTGAGGCCAAGGCAGCTGAAGTGCGGCAACCATCTTCTTCTGTTTGCACAGTGGTGGGTTCATGATTTTGATTGCTACAGCTTCCGCTGTTGACAAGTGACGTATCCGAACTTGCTTTGATTTGTTTTGGGGTACTTTGTAGATGACTTTGAAAGCGTCGTTGTCTGGCTGATGTCCGGTATCAGCGAGGTGGCCCATAATTGAATACACACAGATAAAATTTTTAGGAAGAGGGAAGCGGCCAATCAATGGGCTGCCATACAACACACAATGGGGAAAATCAGGCGATAATGATGGGATTCGAACATACATTCCCCGGGTCGATAATATGGTGACGTTACGACTGGACCACCACCGCCCATTAAGTAAGGGATCGTCCGAGGACGTCTCCGCTGTCAAAAACTGCACGCCCGAGGGATCCCAATTAGGGATCGTGGCAGGCTTCAACCCGCCAGAGTGCAGGGACGAGCCTCCAACTGTGGTCAAGGTATTCGTGATCACCCTGGTCCCGGCGCTATACTATTACCTCAAGATACTCAAAGGCGATTGAGAATGACTGATAGCATTCTCATCCGCTTGTTTCGAACGGCTTTTGACTGGCGTCCTTCCTCGATCATGCTGATCAAATAAGGGGCAGTGTTCGAATGATGAACTTCGCCAAAAATGTCGGGTAAAAAACACTTATTTGCAGTTATGCGACTATTACCGTTGGAGAACACTTCCACTATGGTAGTAGCTGACCATCCATCAACTGAAATGGACCTCTAGCCGCGGTCCCATTGGCGACGGCCGTAGAGAGATGACAAGTTCAAGTTGTACATGAAACTCAGACAACCTATGTAGATCAACAAATACGTAATAGTGATAATACTTTCCGGTTTGCGAGAACCTCCGTGATTAACCCCCCCCCCATCCACCCGAGTCGTCTTGTTACTTATTGCCAAGGAAAACCTAATTTCCTTTGAAAATCCTTCCATAATCAATGGAAAATGGATTTGGACCAATCGTTGTCTCAGCAGGTTGCCGGTGTTCTCTCTGTATTACTGGATTGGTGGAATCTAGGGTAACGGACAGAGGACTGCAATCTGATTGGCCCGTTTGCTTCATCGGTGCTGGCGCATTTTCCATTCCGGGAAACTTTAAAATTTGCGCAACCCCATAAACATGGCACAAGTCTTTTCATCATTTAACGTAGTTTTCTGGCACTACAAATAAATGGTCGTATTGTTTTGCAATTGTCTGACTGAAAGTCTTTGGGGAACTAATTATGGGATAAGATTCAATGATAGACCGACAGATAGCACACGGAAGCACATCACAGTGTCGGAACAGCCGTGGAAAAATCTGCAGCTGGCTAAGTCCTGGCAGATAGCATACTCTCTGAACTCAGGTTTGTTCTGGGACAACCAATCGGAACAGCAGTATTCCCATATAATAGCTATATGACCGCATAAGACCTACCGGCTCATGCACTCCGAGGCTATTTGATTTGCCAAAAATCCATAAAGCTCAGATTTCCCTTCGTCCCATCCTACCGATGACCAATTGCCCACGCCATGCTGTCGCTTAATGGCTAAATCCTTGAACCCGAAAGGAAACGGTTATCGGCACATAGTGGTAAGGTTATGTTCCAGTTTATTGAAGCAAGTCAGAGATGTTGTCCTGGATACCACGTGACTTTCAAAAATGCGCCATTAGTTGAAACCATTCGGTTTATTATAGAACATCTGAATGGTAACGACATTAATTTTACGATACCCACAGAAGCGCTACGCGAACTCTTATTTCGCTGTACGTATAACGTCCAGCTCATTTTTAATGGAATAATCTACCAACAAAAGGACAGAGTAGCAATGGCATCACCAATAGGACCACATTTTGCATACTTTTTCATGGCGATGCTGGGGAACAATTAATGGAAAGGCACCATTAATAGTCTTCGCAAATAATGCCGGTTGGTTGCACAGTTGACTTGAACTGCGAACTGGATCCACTATAAGAAAAGTTTAACTTCGCATGAAAGGCCATAAAATTTACACAGGAGATAGAAGCATATGATCGATTACACCCAGCCGCTGGCTGGCGTCGTAAGGGGTCCGATCTTCGAGTTATTCAAAGAATCGCTTAGATTGGGAGTTGTCCCGGACGACTGGCGCAAAGCCACAGTAGTGGCGATACACAAGTCTGGATCCCGGTAAAAAGCCGAAAATTACAGACCAGTGAGTTCGACGTCAGAAATATGCAGGTATTTAGAGCGGGTAGTTAGAATGCAATTATGTCACTAGATGATCAATAGCGAACTATTGGTACCACCTCAGCATGGATTTGTTGAAAAGAGGTCTTGTCCGATAAACCTGCTGGTGTTACTATGCGAGGTCACACATAGACTAGATGAGGGTCTACCGGTGGAGGTATGCTATCTGGACCTCAGAAAGTATTCGACTCGGTCAGGTACTACCTGTTAGATCATAAGATGCAGGTATTAGGAACAGTAGGGCCAGTAGGGAGCTGGATAATGGGCTTTCGAGCATCAACTTTCTAGGGTCCAATTAACTAGCGCGCACGGTAAGCAGATTATGTTTTGAAGATGAAGACGCCACAATAAACAATTCAGGATCGATTTAATGTGCTCTTTTACCATCTTTCCTTTTCTCGACTGACTTTTCGAGTTGTATTTTTAAACGCATAGAAGATATGGTCGTATCAAACTATATTCATTCAAAATGACTTTGCAGATCTGTTTCTCAAACTTTACAACGTTTACGAACTCCGGGAAACCTATGGTCTACACCCTAACACCTCCAAATATTTCGAATGCACCTTTACTCCACCCAACAGTCAATTTTATGCCCCTTCTCAGACCGTTTTCAGGAAAATATCTCAGTGTGGTCTACAACATTCATTTTTGATGAGCCACTCCTATGGAAAGTGGTTGGCGTAAATTGCACATAGGAAAAATCCGGTAATTTTGCCCAACAGACAGTCATTTCCACTCATTATATAGAGTCACTTTCCTGAAGTCATGTTGTTTTCCTATGGTTTTTTTCTGGACCGAGCAAGAAAGGCCATGAGAGCCATGATTTGTGGCTCATGCAGCCCATCGTATTGAAGGTTTTTTTGCAGGATCTTGTACTCTCATTGCATTTTATTCTTTCCGAACGAAGTTTTCTAAACACTACTAGCTCCCAGGTCCGATTACCTCCTTGAAGATTTAAATTGTAGACAAACTTCTTTCTTTTAATATCTTTAGTAACTACAACGTAAAACAATTTGGTATCTTTACAAGCAAGTTTTGATAACTACAGTGGTGAAACGGACATTAATCAGGGAAGCGGGGGAGAGGGTGGGGTGGGAAATCAGTTCCATGGCAATCCGACTGATTGTGTAAGAAACTTTTGTGCGCACAAGATTGGGTTACGTAACCTGATTAGCTTCGCCTCGCTAAACGCCAAAATTCTAGGGTTCATGTTACGTAATAACGGCTTGAACGACATTTGTGGGTCAAGGTTGTATCCAGTTACCATGAGATTTTTTGCGATTGATGACCGTGGATTACTCTGATCAGTTTGACTTGTAAGACTTTGTTGAGTCATTGATTGTACCAACCACTTGGAAATGTGTTCAGACATCCGCTGTGCCAGGGGCCTGTTCGTTCTCCAGATGTATGTGTCATCGCAACTGCAGGTGAACTAGTAAACGATATGTGAAGCAAAATTTTCCAGCTGGCTCTGTTTCCGATTGTCTAAACGAATTTCTTGGGTATACGGTATCAATCGAAGCTGTGCGGCAGGAAACGTACGACACAATGTCACTTTGAGCTTTTGAAGAACGTCGTTCATCATATGATCACTTTTAAACGCGAGCCTGAGGAAGACGCTCTTCTTCGGTACTTCGCAGACGGGATCAACCGGTGTCTTTCGTCTTGTGATGACTGAAGAGATTAAAATAAATGTTAAAATCTCGTAGTATTTGTCTTCTCTCGGTTCAAACGAATTGGATAAAGGGAACCCATTGTTTCAAATTTCTTTCTACTAAGCTATTATAGAAAGGTGTACCACATCGTGAAAATAGAATAATCATGGATAAACCCACGTGTTTAGCCAAAATGAAAGTACTCACCATAGCTGTTTAAGGTCGATTACGCGTCCAACATTATTCAGATACTGACGAAAGGCATATTCGGTGATTGGCGACTGTGTCAGCTGATCTTCGCCACCGTCTGGGTGCGCTTTGAGGCCTGACCGCAAAATAGACCGTACAAGAACGATAATGGTTCCAAAGAGTGCATTTTTTCGAAAAGGTAAAAACCCGGGCCAAACTGATGACGCAAACGAGTATTCCCAGACAAGTTGTACAGTGAACTCAAGGTGAGTGGTTGTTAAAAAAGGTAAACCAATTGATGTGTAGTGTTAATCTCGAAGTAGAGTTTATTTTCGGGGCCATTGAAGACAATGAAGCACGGTAGTATCGAATCAATGAAAATTTAAAACCAATCATCCAGTGGAACAACACCTACCTGTATACAACGAAAAAATACCCGTGCAAAAATAGTTATATATACATATACCTCCTACCACCTCAGTATGGTCAGGAGTGGGTGTCACGGGCTCTGAAATGGCCAGTCGTTCCACGTTGTAGCTCGCCAATATTCCCCTCGACATCTGTCTCAGGAGTGCCGCGTCATTCGGAGCTTGCCACCAACCTCTTCACAGAGATGAACTTAGATTGATCATATCTCTGTCGGCTACCGCTGGCGAGGATCTATTAAAGACTGCCGCTCTTATTGATCAACACCGATGAACACGGACCATGCTCCACTACGAAACAGACTGTAAACAAGAAAGCCACCGACAACGGATGCCCACAATACAGTATCAGCACTGATTACCAATCGGCTTTCGAAGCGGAACTCTCTGATCATCTTTCAGCTTAACCGTCAGCCGATGGACTCAGTGAACAATGAGCGGTAATCAAGGAAGTGATCCAAATGTCAGTCGAAAGAAAAGCGGATTCAGGCGCAGGATAAAAGCAAGAACGATTGATCTCCTCGACCCCGGTTGCCCCGCTGGACACTCGCAGAGCCATTCCGTCTGATGCGAAATGCAACAGAGAGCGCAAATTCCTTGAACAACCGGTCATTAAAAGCTTGAGGAAAGAACGCGAGAAGTGGCAGATAAGGAAGGGCAGAAAGATGGAGAAGGTTGTGGCTATCGATGTGGTTGCAAAAATTTTCGTTTAATTAAGAGCTCACGTTTAAAAAAAGTTGGCGTGAGGTAAATAAGGAATACGATAGCACACTGATTCATCAGCGGCAATGTTGTCTTGAATGATGGGCTGAATATTTTAAGGCACAGTTCAACTGGTCCTCGTCGACACAAAACCTCCCAACACCTACTTCAGCGGGGCAAATACTGACAGCAGACATCAGTTCTCCATCTGAAAATTAGGCCTCCGGCCCGGCTGGGCCATCCCCATCCGTCTTTAAGTATGGAGGTTCAGCATTGGCTTTGGAGTTAACACAACTCCTGGGTTCAGTGTGGGAGAGGGAAGAGGTACCAACTGAATTGTGTAAATCGGCGATCATACCGATTTACAAGAAACGTGACAGATCCTCTTGTGAAAACCACAGTCTAATTACCGCTGTCTCTAAGGTTCTCGCTGGTGTAATACTCCGTTCATTGTCTACCGCAATTGAAGAAAGCGCACGAGGAGATTGCCCTGATTTCTGACCTAATTGCGGTTGTGTCGATCACATATTCACTCTTCGCCGAATTCCGGATCACCGACATACCCTTTGTAGACCAAAAATTTCCGTTTCCCGCGATCTGAAAGCGACCTTCGACTCAGTCGACCGATCTAACCTCAAGCGATGTCTTCCCCTGAAGGGTGTGCCAAAGTGTATGTGAATTTTGCGATCTTTTTTACGCTAGAGAATAAGCGTAGCATAGGTCATTGGAACTGATTAGCCATCGTCATGTCTCTTCTTACTGTGATCAAACTGAATCTGCAACGTTCCGCTCTACCATCATCTGTAACCCCCCCCCCTGCCCCGCGCACCAGCATTTCCTTTTCGCGTCCATCCACTGCTCTAACAACACCCAACTGTTTGTTTAATCTTGNCATGTTCCCGATCCAATCTATATGCTTCATCAGAATCAGTGTGGCACCATAGTAACAACTGGACTAAATTATAATGTCATGATATGTGCTTCAGTTGTCTTGGTTTCTCAACCAGCATGCCTTAAGCATTAACTGAAAAGCTTGAACAAAACCCACCTCATAACACCAACGAACACTGATCGTTCATTTATAATGCTCTAAATTCTGTTGGCCTTGTTGGTTGGGCTCTGAAACGTTGTATCGTGACACCCTAAATTCTCATTGAGTCTCTGCGCCTTCTTGACGCACGCAAATCAATCCTGACTCAGCAACTAAAACGAAATACGGTTTTTGAGGAACCTTGGGCCTCACGCGAAATCTGGTGGTCTCAACTTGTATCAGAAATGGAACTTGCTGTCACCATAGGAACTCCCTGGTTGAAGAAATCGATTCTTGTCACTATACTTAAAGAAGGCCCGTACGGAAACTGCATCAATAAATAAACCTGATCTCAATAGCGCCGGAGCTGTTGCTGTCCGTCATTCTCCGCCGATATGCCATATGCGTGAAGAACAGACGTGCGAGGAGCAGACTGGGTTTCGGATCGGTCTTCAGTGCATCGATCAAATCTTCACCGTCCGACAATTATTGGAGCTTTCCAAAGACTAACGATCTTTATGCTCGTAGGACTTCACTGTGGAGCTAAATGTCGATACACATAGTGCCGGAGAAGTATGTGTGGAACCTCAAAAATTTGCATTATCATACGTCAGATCAGGTTAGGGCATATGGCCACCTTTCGCAACCTTTCTAGAACACAGATACTCCTTTCGTAGACCAACCATTTCTATCTTCCTCGATCTGAGAGTGGCTTTCGTCCCCGTCGACGGCTCTAAACTCTGGAGCTGCCTTTCTCTGAAATGTTTACCGGAGAAGTTTATTCCTATCTTACAATCTCTTTATACTAATAGCCGAAGTCGAGTCCGAGCTTACGGCACTTTTTCACCTAAGTTCATCACGAAAAGTGTTGTTAGACAGGATTGCCCTCTTTCTCCGTTTCCATTTAACTTTGTCTAATAATCAATCCTTGAAACAACCCTACCATCGTGCGAGGATAGCGGCAGACTGTCTGATCTGGAGTATGTAGGTGACATTGAGTCACTAAGTGAAGATCCAGGTAATTTACAAGTTTTTCTGGATAATTTGAGTGTTAATGTAACCATGTCTGACATGCGCTTTGCACCTTCAAAGTGTAAAATGGTACTGAAAGATTGGGTTTGTCCAGTCCCCAATTTCACTCTTACTGGGGAAGTAGTATAGAAAGTAGACATTTTTTGTTATTTGGGCAGCTATATTTCACTTGGTGGACGCGTCGCAGATGAAGTGCCGGCACGTATACATAAGGCTCAGTTGACGGCGGTTTAACCATCTTTAGGGAAGCGAATCGAGTATAATTTGGATCTTTCTGTAGTGAAAACTTCTAGTTTGATAACAACACAGTGGATTTTCATAACTGATGGTAAAGGAAGAAATTTCCTAATTCTCTGACATCATGAAGAACGGTAGAAGAAATGAATCCTATAGTTACAGTGATCCAGGACGCATTAATGAAAACAAGTAACCCAGCCAATGGGGTTCGGAAGACTTCCAAAGCCCCCCGAAAAGATGCTGAAGGTACTGAACCGGGTAACAACAAAGCTGTCTTTCACTGAAATCATGTTGCACTCTGCTAGGGAAAGCATAATCACACAAAACACCCAGACTTACAACAAGCTTACCTATAGCCCGCTGAACGCTGTTCACAGTCTTTCCCATTCGATCAGAAACGACCGAAAACAAGGAGCTCGCATGGAAACTCATACGTTTAACAGTTGAGGGGATCAGTTGTGTGTTTCTTAAGCTTTGTGATTTCCGGACTCCAAGACGCACATCAGCAGGCACCACGATGTCCCAATCATTGAGCTCTGTCGAAAAAGTGGTTGTGAAGAAACAAAATGGAAAGTATTAAAACACACACGTCATGGAAGAGTAAAAACGACCGATCACACAGACATGGTTTTCATGTGCCATTTTAAAACAAATAACTGAAAGATATGCAATACATACGATTAACTCCGACAGTTCATCCTTAGGTTACTAATCATTTTATTAGAAAGGTGGAGAAATCACATAGGTTNGGGGGGGGGGGAGGGAGGGAGAAATGAATGGAAATTAGGAAGGGAGTTACTGAGACGAGATATTACCCGACACAATGTTCAAACCAACCAAAAACAAGCAAAAAAACAGCTACAATCTAGTGTATGAACTTCTACCTGGAGAAGTAACAGAGCAGGTGGATAAGTTCTGTTATTTGGGCAGATATCCTATCGGGGCCTTATGTGGTTCACCACTCCAAGTCCCGGGGCTTAGGTTACCGGTTTCCATCGCAAGGGTCCGTACTCGGTTCCCGTCTGTTTCTCGCATTCCTAAATGATCTAACGGAAGTGTCAGGCCTAAAAGCAATGATGCTTGCAAACGAAGCCACAATCTGAAAACACACTAACAGAACCCGAGAGCTCTCTAACACTTCAGGAATCACTCAACGCAGCTTATCAATGGTCTTAAGAGAACGACATTGAGTTTGTTTCTAAATGCAAATTCCTGTCCTTACGCCATAAGAGAAAATTCTTGTATTTTACCTCGGGATCAGCAGCTACCAGAAACTTCAAGTGAAAAGGACTTAGATATTGTTGTTCAAGAGGATTTAAGCTGCTCCATCAATTGCGCTAAGGCTTCGTCCGCTGCTGTGAAGAATGTCGGCTTACTTCGGCGAGTCTTTGGCTGGTTTGAATCATCACTATTCCCACGTTTGCTATCAGTGTACATTCGACCCTACACGGAGTACGTTATCTAAGCTTGGAGTCCATGGTTTCTACGTGGTTGCAAAATGCTTGAACGTCCACAAAGGATGGCCACCAAGATGGTCAGGGGATGGCATTACCTGACATATGAGGAGAGATTACGATCATTGAGACTATATTTTGCTCAGTACCGCCGAAATCGGGGAGACTTGATTTTGACGTATCAAATACTGCAGAACCCAAACTGTAGTGATCAACGAATTCCCATTCTACGTGTACCTTTCCTCTTGTGCACCTTATTGTTTTACCACGCCAAGGCCACCTCTTTGGTCAGCACGCGTTTCCTGTCACCTTTGAACGAACACGGTGGTTCGCACTTCCTAGCCTGGTTGCCGAAGCGTCTGTGGTAATAGCACAGACCGCCCCGAGAAGACGANTAAGCTAAGGTCAGCCAGTTGCTTGGACAAAAGCTGGACTTCTGTCGTAGGCTCGTTGGGGAGCCTAACGGGGGCCGGATTCGGAAGCGACTGGTGGGTCATGGTTGGTTCAGGGCTTCCCACGTTGGCCATTGTGGGCTGAAAAAGCTGAGCTTGCTCCATTGCCCGGTCTGCGGCCTCGGCGAGTTCGTCGAGACTATGGGAATGGACAAAAACGTTAAGAATACTCTGGACGTGCCTACAAAACCATGCGTGCCGATCGCTGCTTATGTTGTCACACAATGTGCACCCAAGGGGACACCGTTTCAAGTTACTGTTTACAAAGTGTCGATTGGAATGCCGGCGCCAGTCTTTTGCAGTCAGAGTAGGCACTTCTTGGAACGCCCTTCCATCTCACGTCGTTTGTGCACTCACTAATGAATCTTTCAAGCACAGACTCGATGAAACCTTGGCACACCTCACATTCGCACACCACTAGAAGAAAACGCAAATTCACTGAAGCCTACATTCTCTATTATCTTCTACCTGGAACTCTATGCAAAAAATATATAAATATCCTATGGGGACAAGAGAAGCACGAGTTTGTAAGTTATTCCCATAATAAAACTTTGACTAAGGGGGTTACCCCGACTGCTGTTCATCAAACGAAAGTGTGTAATAAAAAAAGCCACATCTCACCCGGTGGACTCATCACGAATAAAGTGTCAGCTCGCATACGGAACGCTCGGTTGGAATTGACCAACATGATACATGTGTGGCGCCGTCGCAACATCCGGCTGTCTGTGAAGGGTCTAGTGCATGCCACGGCAGTTCGATCAGTCCTGTTCTATTTGTGCAGAAACTTGATCATTAATAAAACAAGACAAAGAAAGACTGTCGGTGTTTGAACACCGCTGTCTACGTCGCAATGCATGAGTCTGGTGGGGCAGTCGGACGAGTAATGCCAAAGCGCAGAGTTTTGGGTAACCGCGGTCGCCCACTGGAGCAGGTGGTCGACCTCCATAGATTACGTTGGCTGGGGTACATGTTAAGCATGTCAACAAATAGGTTGCCACGGTGAGCGATGTTTGCTGAGGCAAACAGTGGGTGGAATAAAGCCACGGGTGGTCAAACTAAGACCTGGTATGAGGTTATTTAAACCCTAACCGGGAGACTAGGTCACATAGGCCCCGTTAGGCTCCCTGGCTGGCGACCCCGAAATGATGGTCACCGATGGTTAGCTACACTGAGTGATGTGGTTGGGTGTCGCAAACAGTGACGCTCATGCATCTGCTCATTATTCCCCTAACGCCACTCCATATGAATTCTCCATCTTCCGCTTGAATTTGCCTTCATCATTCAAATCTTAATCCTGCTCTTTTATCCAAACGGGGCACCAAAAGAAAGCAACCAAAACCGGGGCACAAAAGTGCACGGTTATGGTTGTACAAACATAACTGAAATTAGGTGTACGAACTGCAGTCGATCATAATTCCGATATGAGGATGGCCGAACCACAGACTCATCGATTGCACTCCTTCTTATCGATATAACCAAATCGAGAGTAAGAGCGCAGGAAGTGCCACTCATCAAAATCTGGTTGAAACTGGATGAGATAAGCCAACTGCACCAATCATGCATCAGTCTCTGTGATGGAGACTTAACTGCTTACAATGGAAACAGTGCGTAACTTGATTTAGAATTATGTAATACATGTTTATCCATCCGATTTTCTCTTGCTATTTTACTTGAAAGAATCGCACGCAGTACAGTTTTACAAACCAAATTGAAAATGGAATAAATGGAACTGTGTGAAGAAATTTAGTTAAAACAGTTCACATATTTCAGTTTTCAGTTTGAACAACCACTAACTAAGCACATTCGTGCGCCGGTTTTCGTTGCTCGTTCTTGGCTGCCCATTGGGATGAAGAAGAAAGGAAAGTTGAAAGTGGAGTCGAACAGAAAATGGGAAAGTTCAGTGGTCTAAGGTTGGACACAAATTGAGAAGACGTGAGAACGCGACTGTTTACAACACCCAGCCATATCGCTCAGTGTCTCTGACCATCCGCTACGATCATCCCGAGGTCCCCA